TTATGCATACCAAAAAATATATATAGATAAATGAAATTCAATCCTATTCTTAATAACAAAAACACATATTCTTACACATTATGAATTTATATTAACTATATGATAAAATCTTGTAACAATTAAAATATTATAGAATTAAATTATCAAACAATAAATTTATGTGAATAATTTCAACAAAACCTATTAAAATATTCTATAATATTTTTACTGCGTAGACTTATTTTGTAGTAGACTTATTTTGTATTTGGTAGTCTGGTAGACTAATTTTGTATGTAGTAGATTTATTTTGTATATATGTAGTAGTTTTATTTTGTATGTAGATTTGTTTTGTATGTAGTAAACTTATTTTGTATGCGGTAGACTTATTTTGGATTGTAGTAGATTTATTTTGTATGTCGTAGACTTATTTTGTATTTGGTATGTAGTAAACTTATTTTGTATGTGGTAGACTTATTTTGCATGTGGTATGTAGTAGACTTGTTTTGTATGTAGTAGACTTATTTTGTATGTGGTATATAGTAGGTTTATTTTGTATGTAGTAGATTTATTGTGTATGTAGTAGACTTATTTAGACTTATTTTGTATGTGGTATGTAGTAGACTTATTTTGTATGTGGTAGACTTATTTTGTATGTAGTAGAGTTATTGTGTATTTAGTAGACTTATTTTGTATGTGATATGTAGTAGACTTATTTTGTATGTAGTAGACTTATTGTGTATGTAGTAGACTTATTTTGTATGTGGTATGTAGTAAACTTATTTTGTATGTAGTAGACTTATTTTGTATGTAGTAGCCTTATTGTATATGTAGTAAACTTATTTTGTATGTAGTAGACTTATTTTGTATGTGGTATGTAGTAAACTTATTTTTTAATATGTTGTTTTTCAATTTATAAAAATTCTTTTGTTTTATCATTCATATTTGTTTCTTAATTTAAATTTATGCTTCCTCTCTATTTTTGTTTTATTGTTTATACTCTCTCTATTTTCTTTTTTAATTTTCTTTTTATAATTTTTATACTCTTTTAGTTATTTTTTATAACTAATTGGGATTTTTTTTTTTTTACTATTTGATTAGTTGTTTTGACAATTATTTTGTTT